TGGAAAACTTTACTTACTAAAGTTAGCATCAAACCACTTGTTTTGTCCATGAGTTTCGATTGCTTTCTCTCTGGCTTAGCAGGCTCTGCAGGAAGCCAGTCCACTCTGTCTTGTTTTCCACAGCTGGCCCGTGGGGTTGAAAGGAACTGCTCAGCATGGCCCACTCTGCCTGACAGCAGCTCTCACACCAGCTAGAGCACTACTAACCTTTCCTGGATGGAGTGACCTTGTTGCCTAGAATTTCGATTCCAACCCAGCTTGCAGAGGTTATTTTTTCTCCCATCCCTGACTCAGTTCTTGCATGTTTCTCATGTAAGACCCATTCTTGTCAAAGCTGCTCTAAAAAGAACAAGTCACTTAAAATTGCTAGAAAGCAACAAGAACATCCTTTAGCCAGAGGAAAAGCTGGAGTGTGGAGCTATCAGATCTGGTTTGTATCAAGAACAGTAACTGCCACAACGCAAGGCTCGGGAGACTGCCGTGGAAAGAGCTTCTGCAGCACTGAATTGTAGTGCTGGAGTGATGACCCACCATCACAGAATATTCTGCTTGGTTAGTTTGGGGCCTTCAGTTTTACATAAGCTTAAACATGTGGGAAGGAGGATGAAATATGGATGTGGGACAAGGGAAGAAGTCTGGGTAAATATTCTGCTCTTGCTCAGTTTCTACCATGTGACAATATTTCAGATAACAGCATTCAGAGAGCCATTGATTCCAACACCCTCAGTTCTCTGTCCTACTTGTATTACATGTTCTTTGGTGACATGTATTGATTTTCTTTCCTAAGTTAAAATTGAGGTGGATATCTCATATACTGTTTGGAGCAGAGAGAACAAGACAAACGCATGCCCAGAGAACTCCCTTGTTTAAAGTTTCCGACTCTTTGCCCTTCTGCTGGCAAACCTAAAGCTCATAGTTAAACAGAAAATAGGTAATCTATACCAGTGAAAGTGATGCAAATCTTAAATACCAAGGAATGAAACTCAGAAATAGCTCCCTGCTGCACAACCAAAACAGTCCAACCCTATAAATATGATTTGTTTTCAGATGCTTCCCCCTCCCCAGGGGGGGAGTCCAGACTGTCTAGTTCTGTGTGACAGTTCACCTGACCATGCTCCACACTGTTTCATGCCACTCACACCCTAGACTGTGAACGCTCCTATGCCATGAAACCAGAATATGACAGAGGAGCAAACATCCGTAAGCAAATGAAGTTCAGCTTCAGACCTTAAGTTCTTACAGATAACTTCTCAACTTGAGAGTTTAAAGCTCTTGGGGATGCTTTTAATAGACCCTTTAGCCCTTCTGAAACACAACCGGGGGCTTTTCAAGTGGATACAAAATGCGCACACAATTGTAGGATGTTTTCATCTATACAGCTGCAAGCCAAAATTTTTCTTATCTAATGCAAACTATTTCAAGTTGTCTTGAGGATACTTTTAGGGCTATACATAACATGATTTACAGCTCTGTCATCTGCCGAGGGAGTGCTCAAGTTTCTTTTCGAGATAAGCTAAGTGCTGTTTGTCAACTCGTGCACAAAACCTGCGCGTCTCGGCTGGTTCTGGTCAGCTGCTGTTGGGGTAACAGTAAAAACGATAGTGTGTCACAGCACAGGCTTTGCCTTGTTCCTCTAATTTACAGAACAGATCCTACCGTCTGCATGAGGCGGATGTCTGCTCCAGTCTTTTTATAATAGTGGGGGCAGGGGAGGAACAGTTTGTGACAGCTGTCACATCTGCCGAGCGTGTCAGAGAGGAGGAGAAGCTGATCAGCCGCTTGCTGCAGCACCTGAAGAATGTTTCAGACCAGCTTTAAGCTTACCTGGAACTTCAAGTCCAGTGTTAATTCTATTAATGCTGTTCCTACCATTTTGGCCTTGGTTCTTGCAGTGCCTGATCAGAAACATCCCTTCCCCTTGTGCTTGTTGCTTTTTGTTGAAAGGCTGTGTGGGTCCAATCCCTCATGAGGACTTCTTTTCCCCAAGGCTTGAAGATGGGTTTGTGCTTCAGTTACTGCCAGAAATTTAGGAATCTGATTTCTCTTTCACAGTCCCATTGTGTAGATAAATCACCCCTGAACAGTTAAACTCAGCTACTCTAGAATGGCTGTTAGAGGTTGTTTTATTGTCTTTATCTGTTTTCACTTAAAAGCAGTAACATTACACTTGATTTTTTGGTAACTAATTAATTTCCCTAGTCTTTTCCCCAGGGAATGCTCCAGGAATAATTTACTTACCACTGCCAGTAAACTTACAACCTTAAGTTTGAAGCTGCTCTTAAACCTAGTTTAATATATTGTTTTCATCTTTCCCTGCTCTCACATCTCTGCTACAATAAGTGTCAACAGTGCCTCTGAGCTGGAGTTCTTAGTGTTTAAATAAAATTCAAAAACTTACATATCTGAAAGGATTGAAATGTGCTCCTGAACTTCAGACTGAAGGAAAGACAAGCTGCCTTGAGCTGAACCTGCACGGGGGAGGTCAGCAGCTGTTCGGTGGTTAAGCAGGGGTTTGCAGTGGTTTTCTGTTGGAGCCTGCAGCCTTCTTTGGTGAGCTGGTGACACCTGTGGCTACACGATGCTTGAGACACCTCATAGGCAAAGCAGACATTTTTTCAAATTGGTAAAGATTCTATTGCCTGTAATCACCTGTCCATACTGCAGGCTATCCCATCCATGGCTCCAGTCCTACATATCCATCTGCCCTAGCCTTCCCTGTCACTGTAGGTTTTGCATTCAGAGCTGTCGCCCTACTTTAGCAACTCTAGGCAGGAAAGCAAGAGCCCCAGGTAGCTGAGCAGTAAGTGAGCTGCAGCCAGCCCTATGCTTTTATTTCAGCTGAGACTTATTATTGTGTGGAAACCCATCCAGGAGCTGGAAAAAAGCCTTGTGGAGCAACTCCATGACCATTGCAGCAGTTCTGACCTCTGTGGATAGAATCATGAGGATGAAAGGCAGATTTGTGATCCAGGATATTCCTGAGTCTCTGCCCTCCATACAGAAACTGGGGCAACCTCTGCAGAAAGAAACAAGAGAACAAATGCTAAACCTGCCTTGATGGGGTGCACAGAGCTGCTGGCCTGCCTGAAAGGGAAGTTTAGCATCTTGGACAGCTGGAGAACAAGAAACACTGAGCTTCATCTGAAGTGAACTGACACCAACTGATGCTGGAAGACAAGGACTCCTGAGTCTTTTGTGGGGTATAGGAATAAACATCAGCTCTACATGTGCTAGAAGGTGGAGGTGGGAGAAGAGCAGGGGATGAGGACCATCACAAACCACAACTTGGACACCTTTGAAAGAGTAAAAACAACTCCATCATTGATGTGAAGATTAATCATAAGGAATCAGCAGCTCTTCTTTGAGCACTGCCTATAGGTGGCCATATATTTCCCTCAGACCTCAAGGTAATGCAAAGACTCAGGTGAAGTGAAGGTCTCTTGTCCAGGAGAAGCAGCAAGATCTTAGCAAACAATAATTGGAGGGGGAGGGCAGCAGGGCAGTGAGACCATCTGGTCAGCATTATGCAAGTAGCTGCTGTAGTAGCTGGGCCCTGCGAAGGAGCAGAAGGTACCAGATGTGCCCAAAATCCTGTGAACAGGAGCATTTAACTGTAAGCATGGAGGTGCTGCTGTCCTGCCAGAGCAATCCCTGGCAGCAGCCCCATTCAGGACCTAGGTCCACCTTAGATGTGGTTGTGGCACCCCCACCGCCTCCTTGGAGAAGGTCTGAAATGGTTATCACGCCTGGGGACAGATTTTGCACAGGATCGTCCTTTAACTCAGCACCTGTGTTCCCAGCCGGGTCTGTCTGGACGAGATGCTGCTGGGTCCAGCAGAAAAGCTCCTTCTGTTGCCCCTTCCCTGCCAGGATGCACAGAAATTTGAGATAAAAAAAAAAAAAAATAAAAAAATTGGAGTTGGAAAACTCCTCTCTACTTTGAAACCCTTGAGAGCAAGACTTCACTCCTCTCACTTGCCCATGGCACTGTTCTGCCTAAATATTTTTAATGGAAAATGCAGCCCCAGTAGTGTTTATTTAGATGGGTGGCTGCCAGGGGTCATCGCCTCCCTCTCTCTTTAGCAGGTACCTGCTCTGCCCATGATCCATAGCTTTGGCTGCTTGCCCGGTGGACTATTAAAGAAGGCACTGATTGTAGTACTTCTGCATAGAGGTCCTGTTACCTGTGAGAATTCTCAGCACCTCAGTGGGCCTCACTGCTGCCCACATCTCCAACTGCTTTGGGCCAAAGACGGGACTTGTCGCTGTTTTGGCCATTGCAGCAAGACCTGTGCCGTGACATGGGGCCTCGGGGGCAGCAGAGTGAGCTGAAGCATCACAGCCCCCTGTCAGCGACTGACAGTAAAGCCAGTCAGCAAAATGCCATTTAGAGAAATTACCTTAAGACGTGTTACCCCCATCTAATCCGTGTCCCTTCCTGAAAGGGATTGATGGTGCAGGAGAACAACAGCATCTGTTGCTGGAAGGAGAGCTTCCTGAGGAGCAGATGGGGCCGCCGCGTCCTGGGGGGACCCTCACTCCTCCTGCGACCAAGATGTCATCAGTTGTCAACAGGATGGAGAAGATGGAGATGGAGAAGAAATGGAGCAAGGTGCCTCAGAGATGTCAAAACTTCTCCGGGCTCTGAGTGTAGCTCTAGAGATTGAAGGAGCTCTTCGGGTTTGAAAGAAAAAATTTGGCCTTTGTGAGTTTTTTCTTTAGCTTGGAATGGTCTCACAGGCAACATCTCACTGAAAGTGATTTGGCTGCCAGGCCAGATAACCAGGCCCTGACCACAGCAGGGACCAACACCTGCATTTGGAGTTGCCAATAGCCCTGTCCCCAGGATGGTCACTGAGGTGCCTTCTCTGGGCACAAACCCACAGCCCCAGGTACCTCCCGGGCCAGGGTAGCTCCAACGGAGACTGGTGGAGATGGTTGGGTTTGGTGTACACACACTTGGAGTCTGCAAGGTGCTCTGGCATGTGGCTGGATCCTTCTCATGGCAGAAGAGCCTCGCCCGCGCTCTGCTGTGTCGTGTGTGCCCCCAGAGGGCAGGGCCATGTCTGACTCCTCACGAAGGGTCCCTCCTCACCCCCCGGATGGATGCGGGGCCTGAGGGGAGGGCTCTGACCTGAGCCCCATCCTTTACCCCCGGCCCGGCGGGGTAAACACCCCCCGAGCGCCGCTGCCCCGCGGGGGCTGCCCGGGGGGAGCCGCAGCCGCTGCTCCCGGGGCGGTGGGGAGGGAGGCTGGGGGGGGGGATCGGGGCCGGGCGCGGCGAAGGTGCCGGGGCCGCCTCTCCCTCCCCCCGCGCCGCTTCCTTTTATATCGATGCGGCACCGCCGCCCGCAGCCACAACCTGCGGCCGTGACGCCGCCGACAGCCGGAGGGACGAGGCTTCGCCCCGCGCCCAGGTAGGGGCTGCCCGTGCCCCCCGGGCGGGCGGAGCGGGGAGGGAGCGACAGGGAGATGGGGATCGCCCGAGGGAGCCGGGAGGAGCCCGAGCGGAGCCGTGGGGTGGGCACCCGTGGGGAGCCGCGGGGCGGGGAGGACCCGGGGGAGCCCCCGCCCCGCTGTTCCCCGGCCCCGGGCCGGAGGGCGCGGATCGGCGGGGCCAGCGGAGGATGCTCAGAATTCCCGGACAGCGCCTTCCCGCCGCCTCCCACGGGGCCGAGAGGTCTGTGGGGCCGCGGGCAGAGCCGCGGCGGCACAAGGGCGGCCGAAGGGAGCCCTGGCCGGGCTCTGCTTCCCTCGGTGCACCGGGACCGTGAGGCCGCCCGGGTCAGCAGGGGCCGGGGGGGAATCTGCTCATGTCTGCGAGGGGGTGACAGGCCAGGGGCGGGAGGGTCCTCTGTGCCACCGGTGTGGCATTAACCCGCACCATCTTCAGCCGCTGCCGAGTTGAAGCCGAACAGCAGCACCCTGGGCTGGTTGGCCTCAAGAGGAAACCACGGTTTGGTTCTGTGAACAAGGCGTGCTGCTCATGGCCGTCCGGGCTGGGAGCAGCAGTGACCATCTTTGGCTGGAGGCTTCTTGTGCTGCCGTCTGACGCTCAGACAGGTACCAGGCTGGAAACTTAACAGTCGTCGTCGTTCATGCAAATCTTGTACCCCGAAGTTCAGCCCAGCAGCCAGAAAAGTGCTGGACTGGCTGGTGAGGAGGCGATCACTTCTGCTTTGGGCATCTGGTACTTCCTCGTCTGGGCAGGGATGGTGGTGTGGTTGAGATCATGACTGTGTGTGAAAATTACCCCTCTCTTGAGCAAGCCATAGCATTTCAAAAGGGTTAGTGGTGAAACAGAGGAAATAAGAGAGAGCAGCCTCTAAACTGTAAAGATTACCTGACTGTATGGTTTAGAGCAGATTTACCCTTGTGCCATTTAAAAATGAACTGTTATCCCTAATACACATGACCCCAAAAGTCTTGATGAGTATGTTTATTCAGTGTTTTGTTGGGTGTGCGGATTACAAGAGTAGAAAGGCCCTTTTTTCATTCAAACAAAGAAAACCCCACATCTGCACCTCAAACTGAGAAGTGCTTTGAAGAGATGTGGGATTTTGGTGGAAGTGCAACATCCTCTTTGTTTCAGTGCTTGACTGAAATCAAGCCTGGCAATGGCTGCTGCCTGTTCTATGGCAAGGAGGCCAGAACTGACGCTGCAGGGAGAGTGGGGAATGTTCACTCTGAGGGACCCTCCCGGGTGCACACAGGCACTCCAGGTCATTTTGGTGCTTCATGCTGCATGGAAGAGCTGCTCAGAGTCATCTTGCCTTAGCGAGAGGCAGCACTTCGCTGCATGGCTCCTCCTGTGCTCCCGCTCAGCAGGGACTGGGAGCTGGTGCCTATCCAGGCAGTGGGATGCTTTCCAGCTGCTGTTGCAGGCAGCAGTCCCTACCTGCTGCTTTGAGCACTGCTCGGGTCAGAGGCCTTGTCATTCCGTTCTTGGACAGTTGCCACCACTTGCTCTCCCAGGATCAGTGATGTGGTTCCCTCCATGGCTTAGCAGGAGGAGCCCCCTTGGCATGAAGGAGTTTCTGAGCAGGTCTGAGGCAGTGCTCTGCAGGGAGACTAGGAAGCACTCAGCATCCAGCAGGAATAGTCATGGACTTTTAAAGACAATTCCAATAAAGTCCAGAGCATCCATTTCTTTGACTGAGACTGATAGTTCAGACTGCCCAGCAAGGAGCACGTGCAATGGATTTTCAATAATCTGCGAGGCACAGCTCAGGCTTGAGGAAAAAATTATTAGGCCTCATTCTGTGCCTTTAAATATGAGCATGCCCAGCAAGGGCAGTGGAGAAGGGAGAAGCTGATGCACTGGAGATAGTTAAAAGCTCAATTCCACCTCTGAGTGTGGGAGGGCACAGCCACTCGCAACTGCTATTTCTTAGTACTCAAAGGTATCAGAGGATAAATTGTGGCTAACAAAAATAAAGACTGATGTTTGAGATACTTCCTGTGCTTGCTGGTGGAGAACAAGGCAGAGTATTTTGAAAGTAAAAGCATATTTCCTGTGAAAAACTGCTGAAGTGACATGTGAGATCCTTTCAGAGCTGGAGGCACAGCCACAGTGACTCAGGCCAGCAGTGCTGGCACCTGGAGATGGGGCTGGCTGGCTTGCTGTGAGGCAGAGTGGAGGTCACTGAGCACCAGCGTGTCTAAACTTGCAGATAGGGAACAGGCACAGCATCATGTGCTCCTCTTGCTGCCCTGGGAACAGGAAGAGAGGCTGTGTCCTCTGCCTGCAGACAGCCTTGAGAGCTTGATTAGAGACTACAGGTTGGTTTGCCAGCAGGTATAAGCAGAACTGCCCTAATTGACTAAGTACATGCTCTAGAGGCTCAGCAGAGACCCAGTGTGGGTCTCCAGGCTGCCCAAACACAGATGTGATCCCATCGTGGGTGTCAGGACTGTTTCTGTAAGCTGAAGGTCATTCCCGCAGTGCTCTCTCAACCCTGAGTTAGAAAGGCTTGTCTCCGAATTAGCTCAGTCCAAGACCTCTCCCCATAAACTGCCTGGGTTAGGTTTTCCTTTAGTGCCTACCATGGCTGTGGGCTTGCTTATCAGCTGAATCGCTGCCCCCACACAGACCTTCATGTTTCCACTGGGAGCTGAATCCAGCTCACTGGCTCCCAGGTGCCTTCTCTCCTCTGCAGCAGCTCAGCTCCGAGGGAGGAGGCAGCTGGGAGCAGAGCTCAGCCCTGGCAGTCTGCTGGAACCCAGCTGCTGGAGCAGGATTTCAAATCTGCAGCCGGGCTGTATCTCACAGTGGGTAGGAAGCACTTTGCACGGTGTCTGCAGTTACTCAGCTGTTGGAAACCTTTGTTCTGCGCTGCTCTGTGTGGAGCTTGATATAGCTCAGATTTTTTTTGGTGCCTGAGTTCTATTACTGTCCTTGCTGGGTATATTTTAAAACTCTTCCACCCAGTGTTTTTTCTTTTTTTTCTTGGTTTGTTTTTGAACACTGCACATATGAATTTATTCCCTTAAGATCTTTCTAAACCAGAGATGCTCAAACTGAGTGTACACGTGACCTTATGGCAATAGGTGGGATAAGTCTAATAGGTAGCTTTGGTTTTCATTCCCAGCAGTTTTTCACAAGGTGCAAGCTACTTTTCTATCATCAAAAATGCAGTTTGTATAAAATGCTGGTTTTGCTCTCTCTTTTGCAACAATGCTGTAAGATCTACTCCAGGGTATCTAGTGGACAAACTTATTATCTCTCAAAGGCTTGCTGTATAGAAAGGGAAAAATACCAAATCTTCTGATGACAGCAGAAAACTAGGCATGAGTTTCACTAAGATATTCTTTGTCTCAGCCAGAAATAGGGCCTCCCCAGCCCCCACATCTGCCTTGTTCCCAATCTTGAGGTCAAACCTCCTGGCCACAACCCTCTCTAACAAAAAGATATAGACACAAGTTGTAATCTGTGCTATGAAAATCTAATCTGTGACCTAATTTGTTGTGATACCATGAAGAACCTGTCAGTAGCGATCACTGTAACCCGTGGCACGGATGCACTGCCGGCTTTCCAAGAGCGCTCGCTCGCCGTAGCCCCAGAGGGAGCGGTGTCATGCCGAGTGTGCATGTTTGGGCTCCTCCACTGACAAATTTGGGGAATAATATACAGACAACTCTCAGATCACTTTTTTTATCCTCTTAAAATGAAAGTGGTATAGGCAGTCTTCCTATGTGTGGAAGTGAACCTCCTCTTCTGGAGGCAATCCCTATGGAACAGGCTGGTTTGAAATGTGTGGGAAGGAAAATGAGATGCAATGAAAACTGGACAGTTTTTTCTGTGCACACCATAATAGCTGTTTACCTGTTCATTGCTCATTCCCCATGACCATGGCAGCAACTTGGATGCAACCCACTCACTGGGTGAGTGGTTAGAGGAGTGACTTGTCTGAATAATTTCTCACTAGTGGTAGCTGAGGTTGCATGGGCTGATTCTCAGAGGTCAAAACTGGCTGGCTTCTGGTACAGGCCCTTGAGTCAAGTTTGTTGTCCTTTAAGGAGAAAAACAAAGATCTTCTGTGGTATGTTACTGAAACTTATAGCACCACCAATCTTGCTCTGCAAGGCTAGAGAGGGAAGGAAAGGTTTACAGGTAAGGAATACACAAGTAATAGTCTGAAGAGCTGGGAATTGTATTCTTAAGTCTGTGCACTGCTACATCTGTCAGGGAGAAAACTTAACTGAGGAACTACTGCTCTATGAGAAACAACAGCAGAGCTGGGCTTCCATTTTGATTGTTCTAGAAATAACACTTTCTTTTTAATTTTTTTTTAATATTATCTTTAAAGTGCTTTACTTGAAAGTACTAAATTAAAATGTGCAGGGGCATGCAGTCTATTAATAACTGCTAAAATCTGTGTCTGTGTTTAGTGAGACACCTTCAGTCCACTTGGATTTTGAGATTTAGTAACCTAGATCCAGTAAGATGCATGTGCATGGTCTGATGCCTTCCCTGCTCACCCTCATGGGAGCTACCTGTGCTGCTGTTCAGGCATTTGCTCTCAAGACTTTTCATTTTGAGCCTCCTCTTTGTTTTCAGTACTTTGTTCCCTAGCATACATTTGGTGTATGTTACCATAGAATACTTGCATTCCCATAGTAATTTTTGTGTTCTTTTTTTGTATTTCAGTTCCTTTTATCCACCCTGGGCACTCAGAGCTCAAGTTTCAATGTGTTATTTGTTGATTTTTGTTCACTCCAGGCTTTTCCCTCCACCCACTCACTTCCTCTCACAAATGTTTCCTCACTTCACCACTTTTTCACACCCGTTTCTAGCACAGGGTTGCCTCCCGCTGCGGGCAGGCTCAGCACTTCATGTACTGTTCACCTTTGCAGGAGATGGGGGGCAGATTCATGTGCCAGAGGAGGAGCAGAGGCAGGAGAAGGTGCTTGCACATGTGGGAGGAAAGGCGCAGGGGCAGGGAGAAGGGGTCTAAGTGCAGGTGTAGTTTGGAGCAGGAGAAGCAAGGGCTTGTAAGCAGGGTTGGGTGTATGGGTGGACAGAGTGAAGGTAGAGAGGGCAGATGGTTTTATTTGTGCTCATGAGCACAGCACATCGTCTGTGTGTGCACAGCTGAGAGATGGCAGGGATGGGATGTCTGAGGATTGAGGAAGGTGCATCTCCAGACCACAAGGCAGCCGGGCCAGAGGCTCTGCTCCCTCCCTCAGCCCAGCACAGGTAGGTTGCTCTGCCACCAAGACTTGCTCTTGGAGCTGAATAGCTCCAAGTTTGAATGTACAATTTTGTTCTTATTTTTAACAAAAAGGTTTCTCACCTCCCCTTGGACAGCACCAATTTCTTAGCCACACGGAGTGCATCTGGCAGCCTACAACCTGTTAAAAAGAGGAAAAAAAAGCCCACCATGAAAATAGCATGTCTGTAGTTTTAAATTAGGCAAGAGCTAAAATTAGTAGGAACAGGCATGTCTGTGGCTGTACAAACCAGCAGAGAATTAACATTCATCTGATACTAAGCAAGACAAGTAGAGGTTTGCAGCTCACACTTCCCTCGCCTTGTCCCACTCCTGTCCTTGCAGCTTCGCTTCCCTGAAGGGCTCAGTCAGCAGTTAGCAGAGAGCTGTGCAGATGCCACTAACCTTGTGCCAATACCAGTGCTACTTTCAGCACTCTGAAGTGCTAGCAACAGCCAGAGCATTTTTTACCACACTCCTTTAATTTCTTTGCTCAGCTGCTGTGAATGCAGCCTTGGAAGCATCGTGCTAAGGTCACTTGCTGTCAGAGCCCTGGACGTGGCCTGAGTCCCACACTGGGGACCGGATCCACCCACTGTTTCCTCGGTGAGATAGGAGCCCCCAAGACACTTGTTTCCTCTCCCCAGCTGTGGTTTATTTTCCTCCATTGTAATTGTGTTGCTGTTAACGGGGCTGTAGTAAAAAACAGTCACTGAATTATTCACCTCACTAGAATAACTCTCGGGTGGTTTGGTTCTTTGCAGACTATTTTTCATTTTATGTCCTGCTGTTGTTTTCATTTGCAGCATGACCTATGCAAACAGGTTTATTGGTGCAAGTTAAAATGTGCAATATACTGGGTGGGAAACAGTGGAAATTTGCTGGGAGAAGGGAAAATGATATGAAAAAGGGATCTTGAGTTGCTGGGGAAGGGAGTTGCAGGAGGGGTGGTTGAGTTATTTGGCTCTGCTGGTGGAGGTGATACATGCCTTTTCCTATTTGGGGGTGGGAGTGATGTGTTTGAGGGAGGGGAGAACAACAAGAGCCTTCACCTCTCTCCCCCTTTCCCTGGGAACTGCCTTGCTAGGCCCTGTGCCCACTGCCAGAGTTGAACTCCTGGGAGAGAATGTTCTTCCACCCCTAGCATATCCAGAGGAATTGGAGGTCACTTGGAAATCAAAATTAAACAATGCCTTAGTGAAGCTTTGAAAAGTTTACTCAAAGGACTGGCGTTGCTCCAGTGCGGTTAAACTGATGACCTCCCTCCAGTAAAATAGCACAAGAGAG